CAAGCAAGACTCCAGAGCGTTTGGGGTTTTCTGCAACTCTTACGTGTCAGTCCAGCTCACGTCAATCTAACCACGGTATAGCTGCTATCAGGAATTTTCACTGTTTTGAAGCATCTCAGTTATTGTTAGTCACCATCATGCAAAGCATCTTTGTGGGAGTTCTGATGTCCTTGGTGTCATCCTTTAATACTGAAGGGGGTACATTTCACCTGAAGTCAGTAGATTTCATTTGTAAATATGAATGCCCTGTGTGTGTATATCAGTGTGTGCTTCAGAGGAAGTCTTGCTATAGCTAGCCAGAGATTTGTTCTTGGTATGCGGCATAGGGAAGTTAGTTACAAACAAACTTATAGGAAAATAGGGATGATTCTAACATCTTAAGGAAGTGGGAGCTGAAGAGGGAGTGTGAATTGAGAATAATTCTGTTTTATTGTCAGGAAAGCTGGGAAGCAAAATATAGGCTCCAGCAATCCAGGGACATGCGTGCATACTCTACCAAATCCAGGAAATTGTAGCAAAATTTCACATTTTGTGGGTAAAAGGTTGGTCTCTCCAGCATATTGAGGAGAAAATGCCACTTTTCACGGTTGTATTTCACCCAGAGCTAGAGAGTTTTGCAGTGTTGGTAGCTCTTGTGCTTCACTTGGAAGTTTACCAAAATTTCGTATTTTTTTCAATCCTAGCTGCTAGGTGGAAAGGCTGCAGAAGAATCTAGTTTTTGTAAAATAGGATGATAAGTGTTGTTATGATCCCTTAAAATCTGTGCATTACCTTGCAGGAAATCATGACCTGTTGACTGATTACATTGGCATACACAATACAAGTAATGAAACTGATAATGCACAAAATAAACTCAGAAGAAAGTTATTGATTGTGTTTTGCTAACTTTCTGGTTATGTTAATTTTTGGATCCAAATACTATATAAAATGTTATCAGATAATTTTTAAATTGAAAGGAGTTTGTGTTAATTTTACTTGTGAATTTTTTCTTCCCTTTTTTAATGAAAGAAAGAATGGAGGTTTGATACACTGTTTTCTGTGCATCTTCTGAGTATATTGTCTGATCTTTTGGGGGGCAGGCGGCTCTGAATGATTTCCTCTGAAGTTACTCTGTTACGTTATGCAGGATCCCTCTAAAATCTCTTTGTCAGGAAAATAATTTTTTCTTTTCGCAGGGAACAGGCTCTCTGATGTTCTTCAGCTGTTGGAGGTTGATCTATTTTCTTGCCTCTTGGCAATGAAGGATTGGAACCCACATGACAAATGAGTAAAATTCTCCAGTCTCAGCTGGGAGTCTGAAAAGATGCAGCGAAGACAGAGTTCTAAGACCCCAAAGCGGCCTCTGCAAATTCATCATAAAAATCAAACTGATCTCTCTGCATGGCGAAAAGGAGGGAGAACTGACCCTGAAAAAAGTGTCCAGAATCATCAATCTCCTACCAATCAGAAAAGTGACAGCAAGCAAGACTCCCTTGAGCAAGCTTTGAGCTACTTTGAGAAAAGTAAGAGTAGTTTTAAGGTTAGCTACCTAGGATTGAAAAGATAGTAACTGATTTAATAACAATAAAAAAAATTTTTATCTAATTTTACCTGCTGTTTTCCCTCTTTAATGCCTGAGCTTTGTAATATTTCTTTAATGTCTTAAAAGGCTTTCCCCTTTCTGTTACTATGTAAAGAACCCAACAAAAAGGAATATATTTAGGGACAATTCAGAGAAGTTTAAAATAGTTCATTTTCAGTCTAGAAGTTGTTTCATCCTTCTGTTTGTCGTCTTTTTTTTTTTTTCTCCTAGTTCAAGACCATGTTTCACTGAAGAAGAACAATGTTATGCAGAAACACTTGACTACTGTGGAAAGCATTGCTCTGCAAAGAGGGTTACCCCCTGAAGCATTTGATGTATTGCTAAACGTGGCACTCAGTGGCAAACTTGGTAAAATATTTATATACTGCTAGCGTGTCGTCTGTGAATGTCTCTTTCTCCTCTAATCAAACCTGCTTGAGATAATGTGTTTATGGTGACTGTATTGTTAAGCACTTTAGCATAAAATTAATCTTTCTGGCATGCTTCAGTGTAATTTCTGAGTTCATGCTAAAAATAATCTCTGTTCTTGTTACAGGGGTAGCAAGGGGGTACCCAGGAAAATACTATGGCTTGTTACAAATATTTTTTGAAAAGCTTATTTCCTTTGTTCGTAATTGCAGGTCTCTGAAAGGCTTAAAGGCAACCATTGTGTCTCTTCCTTGTTGTAACTGTTTGTGTAGTTTTCTTTCCCCGAGATCAAAATAATTGAACAAATTGCAATAGTTGTATTAGTGAAACTTGCTAAAATTAAAATGTTATCCTAACAATCAATTCAGCAGTGTCAGTGCAGCCCTCATGCTGCTTTCTTAGAAATGGTGGCCACCATTTATACTTCTAAATAATGAAATATTCAATGAAAAAAACCCTAAACTTTCCCCTCTCTCGAGGGGAGTACTCGATATTCCTTTTTCTTTAAGCTGGAAAGAAATAATTCTCATAATTTTTTGAGGTATAGGTAAGTCCCTACTAGATTCTTGTGCACTGTTACTTTAAGCAATGAAGCTCTGAATAATCTTGTCCAGAGGGAATTTTGACCTAAGCTGCAAAACCATATCAAAGAACCTGGTACATGAGCACTATCTTATTTTAAATTGTTCGTTTTCCAGCTGATACAGTGAATACTCGTTTACTGAAGAGCCTGGTTCCAGCCTCAGTAATACCAGAAACTTCTGTGGTTTCATCTGTATCTTGGCTCTGTGTCAGCAAATGCTCAGGCAACATCCAGGTAACTTAGTAAATGTTTACAGTAGTTATTGCTTCTGCACAGGAATGATCAGGACGGATTATTTTCAGGAAGCAAGAATCCTGAGGTTTTAATGTACAAGGTTATTATGTAAGATACTGTCATTTAGAAAGATTGGCAGAGACACCCATTGCTGGAACGGCAGTGGGGACCGAGGAACACTTTAAGTGTGAGTGGAAATTTGCACAGTTCCTGCTTGTCTTGTATCTCTGAGTTCCTTAGGAATGGTTTCTCCATCAACATTTCTGTGAAATACTTCAGCTGTGTGAGGCATTCTTCACCAGCTTCAGCAAGGTATGAGAACCCTTAGGTTCTGTGTACCTTGGCCGTCGCAACATGACTTAACGTTAGCAAAACAGTCTTTTTTGTCTTCGTGTAGTCCGCTCAAAGGTTTACGTCATAGAATCATTTAGGTTGGAAAAGACCCTTAAGATCATCGAGTCCAACCGTAAACCTAACACTGCCAGCTGTGTTTAGTCCACCACTAAACCATGTCCCTAAACCATGTCCACCACTAACCCATGTCTACAAGTCTTTTAAATACCTCCAGGGATGGTGACTCAACCACTTCCCTGAGCGGCCTGTTCCAGTGCTTGAACCCTTTCGGTGAAGAAATTTTTCTTAATATCCAATCTAAACCTCCCCGGTGCAACTTGAGGCCATTTCCTCTGTCCTATCACTTCTTCCTTGGGAGAAGAGACCGACACCCGCCTCGCTACAACCTCCTTCCAGGTAGTTGTAGAGAGCGATGAGGTCTCCCCTCAGCCTCCTTTTCTCCAGACTGAACAACCCCAGTTCCCTCAGCCGCTCCTCATAAGACTTGTTCCCTAGGCCCTTCACCAGCTTCGTTGCTCTGCTTTGGATGTGCTCCAGCACCTCAATGTCTTTCTTGTAGTGAGGGGCCCTCAGATCATATCTGAGGGTTAGCACATATTCAGAACTGAGCTGCTTTTTTCCATTCTGATACAGCAGTTGGTGCTCTTGGCAGGCTTTCTTCCACAGCTGAATTATCCCTGTACTGTTCATCTCTAGCTATCTGGTTGTCCTTGAGAGTGGTATGTATCCTTAATGATTGTCTCTCTTAAATTGGCTAGTGACTGGTCTGTCTTGCTTTTGCCCATCGCTTAATGTAATACGGCTTTTTTCCTGTCTGCAGCTGCTTTTTTTAAGATGGCTGATCACAGTGTTTGACTTCATTGATCACAAGGAACAACTTCATGCCCTCTATGGTTTCTTCTTTTCCTTCCTACAAGATGAGAAGATGGTAAGGAGAGCTGAAGAATATATGGAATTGACAAAATAAACCTAAATGTTCATTACTAGTATGCATATTAGTGCTAGAATTAGTCTGGAGTAGCTGTTGGTTAAAGACCATTTTCTGATGGCTGGAATTTATTTTCTTTTTTTTATTTTGCATTCTAAGATTGCTGGGTAATTTAGATTCGGAAACAGGGAAGTACTGTAAGATTATTTTAGTTTCAGTGCTGTGGTCTGGTTGTTTAAATGTGTTTCCAAGAATTGCTATTCTGCATCACAGAGTGACAGTATATTCTGTCTAAATTCCCAAGAGTAACTATGATGCTGCAGTCTCTGGGATTGCCTTTGATGTCAGACATCAGCAGGTGAAGTCTCCCGCTCCTGGGGAGAAACTGACTGGCATACCTTGGGCAAAAAGAAAAAAACCTTTTAGACCAATGTTTATTTAAAGGTGAGAAACTCTAAATGCTGTTCTACTTAATTGATTTGAAACGTAGCTGAAATGAGAACAAGCAATCAGGAGATTTCTGCTATATGGCAACTGTAAAATCCAGGTGCTGGAATATTGAAGTGTTTGGATTCAGTTCATATTAAGATGATCTTGGCAGTCATGTTAGATGTGAAATTGTTAATATCCTTTCAGTTTAGGATATTTTGTGGTTAAGACTTTTAAAGTTCCCAAAGTTCTGAGTTGTATTTCTTGCAAAGTTTTTAATGGTTTTAGGTTAACATTAGTTAATCTTTTCATAAAACTGGGTTTAAGTTCTTACTGTTTAAAATAGCATTTTCAGGCATGATAGGCCAATTGGAAAGTGCAGCAGAGTTGGTGTGAAACTAATTTAAGACACTACAGCCTCAACTGTAGTTAGAAGATCTAATAAATTATTTTGATTCAAAGGTGCTTTTCGTTTTGAAAATAAAATTGTATTTTCACTGCTGACTTCTGACATATCTAGACCATGTTCCAAAAAACAATATCCAAGCTCACGGAATAGCTTGATTACTATAGGGACTGCTCATAGTGCAGATAGTGTTTATAAGTAAAATTGACATGTGACATGTAAAAGGCATGCTACTTCCTAAGGGGAGTAAGGTATGCTCTGCCTCAATGGGGATGCAGTGATGACTTGAGGCAGCCAACTGAATGAAACAATGTTAGCTTGTGAAGCCTGTATGTTGCTTTTACTGTATCCTAGTTAGCAGTCTGCACCATCAGGATAGTTCATTGCTGCCTTTTCTTTGCAGTGCCCTTATGTCTGCCACCTGCTCTACCTGCTGACCAGGAAAGAAAATGGTGAGTCTATCCAATTGTATGAGGTGGAATACCATTTTGTTTCTTATTCTGTTTGCTGGCGCTGCCTTTTCTTCCAATGGAGCTAATATAATGACTAGCCAATATATTGCTTTTAAGGCAAGGAAGCATGAGTGGTAGTTCAGTCTGATTTGTGTAATGTTTTCTGAATTGGAAACCTGTCTACTAGGTTATTTATTACCTGTCTATTGGTTAGCCTAGAAATAACACTGATTGGTTCTGCTTGCTTTGCCATGGCTTTCTATAATAAAAGTGATATTGCATTTTTGCTTAAATGTCTGATACAGTGGGTTTTAAATCCATTATGTTCTTAATTGTATTTCCAGTCAAGCCTTTTCGGATTAGGAGACTGCTTGACCTCCAAGCAAAAATGGTGAGTTTATTTCAAATCTTGTAGAGTTTGAACTGTGGTTAATAATGCAGTTTGTAAGACTAATGTCCTTAGAGGATGGAGAAGAGTGGCTAGTGTCTCAGAACAGGGTTAGACTTGGAATTGTAGGTTGTAGTCTTGTCTTTGTAGCATAAGGGCTTGTCTATCTTGCATGTGCACCCCTAATTTTCGTTTGTCTTGTGAGCACATGCAATGGCATGCACAAAGCTATATGTTTTATGGCTAGGTGTGGCAAAATCTTTGAAGCAAGGGTCAGCTTCATTTATCTATTACCATCTTTAATTTTCTATTCATCTTCCTTTTTCAAGTGGTGTCAAAAATGACTGAGAAACATAAGATTGTAGAGGATCTTGCTCCCTTTTTTGTAAGAAAAAACTGTAGCTATAACAGCATGTTTTTGGAGCATTTAGACAGCAGAAGACTGTATTTTTCATAGTTTCAATTGTTAAATTCCTTTTTATTAGTCATGACTACAGCAAGTTCCTCCTTCAATCCCCTTCCTATGGTATTTCATTGACACAGTTTCTGTTCTTCCTTTCATTTTCGGTTGTTCATCTATGGTTACTTACTGACATGTAGCTTTAGAAAGCTTTTAGTAATCACTGTGGGTTTTTTGCTTCTAGAATACAGTATTTAGCTTCTATATTAAAAACATACCCCACATGTTTTTCCTCTTGTTCTTCTATTTGACAGGGAATGCAGTCTCATCTGCAGGCTCTACTATCACTTTACAAACTCTTCTGTCCTGAGCTGGTGACCATAACCCTTCCTGGGAAAATGAAGGTAAGGAATTAGATTTAATCTATTTGGAACCAGTACTTTGGACAGTATTTGTACTGAACTTTCCATTCAAGCTATAGCATGATTTAGTGGTGAAGATTAATTCTATTTCCTCTTTTCACTGAGTAAAATCAGGTTTAGATGGAGATTCTTTGCCTTGCATTTTGTTTACTCTTCAGCACAATGAGATGATTTGGAATGGCATCTACCTTTATCCTTATGAGGATTACTTTAATCCTTCTTTTGGTGTTCTTGCTGGTTTTGACTTAGTTTACACAATGTTAAGTTCTTCAGGAAGCAAACTTATTTGTACAAGGCATTGTCCAAACTGATGACTTTCTCAAGTACAAATAACAATGGAAGTCAGTAAGTAACTTCCCACTTGGAAAGTCTATGTCATAGGCAAGAGACAAAAAGTAGGGAACGATGCGGTAAGCTGATTTGTCAGAGCCTCAGGGTAACAGCAAAAAATATGATCCTGCTTTTAGAGAGGCCTATGTGTATGCTTAGCCCTTTGACCAAGTAGAATATATGTAGCAGAAACTGAATATATAACAGAAAATAGCAGCAGGTGAGACCTAAATTCTGCAACGAATTTTCTTTTGGTACTTCAATGGGATAGATGTAGTTTGGGTTTTTTTAGAAGCATTTTGCATTCTGTTGGAGAATTTACATTTTTTGATATGCACAGAAGTGAAGTAAGTAACTAGCAATTAAAACCCAAATACATCTTCAACTGTTTTTATGAACATGGTGTTAACTTGTATAATAAAAGCTTGATTACCTAGGCCCAAACCAATCTGAATACTTTTGTGATGGTTTGGTGCTTGATTAGGATTTAAAGACTGATTGTAATTGAAATGACAAATAAGGTTTGTGCAGAAAAGGTGTTGGGTTAATTTTTCCAGTTTTCTTTTTAGCTTAGTATCTACATTAATTTGAGAATTCGATTACTCATTGAATTGTTCTGTTTGGAGGGTATCACTGATACTGAATTCAGGAAGCTTTCTCAGTAACTTAAGCATACCTTTGTCATGGTTTTTTTTAATGTATACTTGAGATTTACTCTATGAATTGGTGATTGATCTGAATGAGGATTATAAACCAGAAGTGTTGGAGATCCCTTCTGAAAAAGGGGACATCGTTTCAGAAGGAAATAAAAGCATAACTGTTAAATATAGTCAAAAGGTAATGAAACTGAGAAATGATGAGAGTTCTGTGCTGTGAAAACGTAGCCTCTTGGTCTGTCAAGCAGAGTTGAGTGTATATACATCACTGTGGTGATGTTTATCAGAATAGAAACTGATCTTTCTGTTGTTTTGTCTTAGTTTGGTTTCTTGCGTAGTTGTCTGATTTATGTTTTCAGACTTACCTCAAGAATTATGAGGGCCCATGGAAAGCAGCAATCAACGCAATAAGGCGAAGAAACCAGGAAAACTCTCCAGTGTTGCAGCCACTGTTTTTAGGCACAGCTCAACCTCAGTCACGGAAGAGGGTAGGTTATGGGCCTAAGGTAGACGCTAGAAGGTGCCAAGCAGCTGTTTTCATGATGAATATTGGCAAATAATGGGAGTCAGGCTTTATTTCAGCACTGGGAAGGGTGGAGTAGCTATATAGAAATGCATCATTCCCATTGTAATGAAAGCCTGGATACCTTTTTTGCAAAACAGGGTCTTTGTGGGAACTGGTCACAAGTGCACTTGACTGCATTGGAAACCAAGTCATTGCTATTCATTTGTGTTTCTTTTCTACAGAAATGGAATACCCAGTTGATTATACCTGCAAGCAGTACAAACAAAAATAATTTAGAAGAGGACAGGGAAAAGAACCGTGTTGATTTGTACAGTACAAATGAATCTCTTCCAGTGGAGCAGCTGCAGACCTTTTCTCAGCTCCTACAAAATATCCACCGTCTAGAGGTGAGTTTCAGGAAGGTCTTGGTAAGCTCACTGAATGTTTTGAGAGATCGAACAATATTCCTCTATGCCCTGTTTATATGTGAATAGCGTATAGGCTACCTAGTTCTGACAGAACATCTAGTCCTACCTGAGGGTGATGAATGTGTCCTGGAGATGGTCTTGTTGCCGGTAAAAGGATTGGACAACTCTGATAGAATGAGATTCTCTGGCAATTTGCTGATGTAAATACTGAATAACTCTTTTTTCTTGATTTCTCTTGCAGTTTCCTTCCCAGATGGGTTCAGTGCTAACAAACCCTTTATTGCTTCACTACATGAATTGCACCAAAGATGAATCTATTTACCTGAGGCTCTACTATTGGATGGGCCAGACTCTTCAGGAAGGTAGGAACTTAGTATTACCTTGCATGGTAGGGAGGTAAAGGATGTCTGAGGCTTTTCACCTTTCAATAATGGTATTTTGCTATTCAGATTTATAGTGATAATCACATAGCATTAAAACAACTACTGGAGGAGAACTGAATTTTGTTTCTGATTGTGCTTATTCTTGCTGTGCCTGTATTAAAATACAGTATTCTTTCCTGTTTAGAATGCACCTGGTGTGTGGCTGATAATAACCAATATGAAGAAGAATTCAAGGACTTCCTGGAAACTGTCTACAAGACGGAGTGTTTCTTGCAGGTAAGTGCCTGTTTTGTGGAAGCCAAGGGTTTAAGTCTTCCCTTGAAGTACTTTTGGGACTTACCTGTTTCCTATAGTATCTCTGAGAAGTGACAGTGTCTCAAGTAATAAAAATAAATATTCCTATAGCAAGTCAATATTCTGGAGACGGCCTTGTTTTCTGCAGGAAAGATAATTTGAGAATTATATTAAGAATGATAATTTGAATGTCCTGGTGAATTGTATGGCAGGAAGGAGGTGTAAGCCTCTTTCTTTCTCCAGGGTGAAGCGAGCATGGTGAGGTGCAGGCATATGATATGAGTTTTTGAATGTTCATCTTCTGCTTTGTAGGAGGGATTTTCTTCCTGTGAAGAGTTCCTGTATAAGAGCCTTCCTCTCTGGGATGGCTTCTGCTGCCGATCACAAATTCTCAGACTTGTGAGTTGGATCCCCCTCAGCAGCTTCTCTGGTATGTGTTGCAGATCCTTTGGGTGAGGCTGGACAGTGTCTGATCTTGGGGGATAGAATTTGTGCACAGATATCATGCTGCTTTCTCATTTGTTTCAGAAATGAAGTCACATCTCTATGATCCCCTGGCACAGCTCTTTTTCACATCATCCCTTTACTTTAAGGTAATTTAAGTGAGTACAGTGGCTGTTTACTTCTAGTTGATGTTGCTGTCTGCACTTGTGTCAGGTGTAGCAGTCTGAGTGATTGTACAGGGGACTTCTTTTGGGGAAGTCTGTGCCCAAGTGAGGGTAAAATATATACTTACAAATTCTTTGGGAATTTGAGTGCCTTTAAGATATTTTCTTTTTTGACTGGAATTAAACTGGGGCACTGAAAATTAAAAGAACTGATAGTACACAAGACAATGGTTGCTTTGGTTTATTGCAATTTTAACTCAGTATTTGAAACTCACATTCTCCAGGAAAAGCTATGCAACACATACATTCAGTTCAAGGGGACATGCAATTATCTTACTGCTCTTTGTGGTCCTGGGAAACTCTTGATATCTTTCTTTGTATATGTCGATTCTCATGGCGTTTTTTGTTTAGTATTATTCACTTATGTAAATTGTCATCAACCTGTTTTCTGTTTGCCTCTTGCAGTGCAGTGTTCTTGAGAGCCTGAAAGAGCTGTTACAGAACTGGTTAAATTGGCATGTGATTCATCTGGATTCAGAGTCTGACTCTCAAGTCCATTCTTTGTAAGTTTGTCTGAAATAAATGCAATACAGTGTTCTGTGCATTGTTCACTAGTGTATTTAGATATATATTCTAGCCCTATTACCTAGCATAAAGACCAACTAGGAGGTTAATAATGCTTAATGTTTCTGCTCTATTGTAAGCTACCTTGTCAAACCTGTTCTTTCTTTCTTTAAAAGTATTTCTATCTACACTGAAAATTGAAATGTCCAGAAGTCAAAATCCTTGTAACACTGACAGCTGGGTCATGTTTGTAATAATGTCGGTAACAATATGTTACTGGGTATATTGAAGAACAAATGCATGTTGCTGAATGCTTGGTGGGGCAGAAGGATAAACTTCAGTTTCTTTTTTACCACTTTTCCTTTTTATCGTTCACAGAGAGATGTATATACTAACGTTGTGTCATGTCATTGCTGTAGGAATACCACTCTTTCTGGACTAGTGAACGTGGTGGCTGAACTGATCCATTTTGTCGGATGGATCTCTACTGTTGCATTGCGTTTGGAAAACAATCCTACTTTCTTGCTGTACTTCATCCTGGATTTCTATGAGACTGTATGTATCCCATTCATTTTGGCTTTCAAAATCCCAATACTCTAAGGCTGTTTGCATTTTTTTAAGCTAGAGCATGAAAACACCTTCCTCATTATAGTTTATAGAACTTTGTGATTAAATGCAAGAATGTTCCAAATACTTGGTAGATCTACAGGTGATGGCAGCTGCTGTTGCATCCATAGGCAGAATTAAATATACTGCTAGAAAGTGGTTGCTCTTAAGTCAGAGGTGAACTGTGGAAGGGGAAGTAACAATATGGCATAACATGCTTTTTTAATGCTAATTTATAGGAAAGAATCAGAAACTGAATTCAGAAAGTTCAGTTCAATTTCAAACACCGCATCCTGACTTTTTCCTTAAATGTTCCCTTAAAAAATGAAGTTTTTTCCGCAGTTTGTCCTGTAGACAAACTAAGCAGCATCAAACAGGCTTAAGCCTATTCTCTAGCTTCCTCATGTCCTCTCTGTAGATGTGCTTACTGCCATGTGAACTCCAGCCATGCTATTGTTGCTCCTACAATTTGGATAAAATTGTGAAGAGTTGAAAAAACATTGATAGTACTGGGATCTACTTGTAACCAAAATGTCCATTAAAAATGCACAAAACTACTGGGCAACAACATTTGCATAAGACAGTGTGTTTAAAATAAGTAAATACTCATTTTATGGGAATATACAGAGAATCATGCACCCTTCGATATACCATTATTGGTGCTCTAGCAGACAACTAGAATTTGAATTTTTTCTTGACCTTTTGCTTATGTATTCAGAACTCTAGAGATTTCTAAAATCATACAGCTGAGATATTAAGTAAAGAGTCTAGATTTCTGAAAGTACCAGTAATTCAGTTACATACACATATCTGTCTATACCTTACATGGTATAGCTGTACTGAGGGCAAGAGGAAAGGTGAAGGTCTGACAAACAATATTGAGTGAAAAGTCTGCTATGAGATTAGGGGAAGGAGTCCTAAAACAATTGTTGTGCCTAATTTAACAATATGTAAAAAAATCCATCTTTGGGATGGCAGGCTGTCACAGCTTAATTGTTTACGGTCTGAGCTGTAGTAGCTAGATATGCATATTCTTAGACCACTACTCTTCTGAGAATGATGCATACCTTCCTGAAGAGCATACCTTTGGGAATAGTTACTGTGGCTAAGCTATAGAGGACAGTAATGTGGTAAGTTACAGCAATATTGCTTTCAATTATTTATCCATACTTTAAGACTGTTATTATAGCTGAAGATCTTGTTAAATCTGCAGAAATGTTAAAATGTCTTTTTTACTTGAAACTCAACCTTAAATTCTAAACATGATTCTGATAATAAACCCATGTTTTACAGCCATATCATCTTTTCTTAGAGCAAAGCTTTATCGTGTGTTCACGCAATTCCAGCAAGGTCAAGTAGAAAGCTTTAATTTCCCAACTAGAAGAAATGTGTGGTCTGTTTGGCTTGCTGTTATCAGCAAACCAGGCTAGGAACAAGGTCAGGTCTACTGCAGTCCCAGCTACGTATGTCGGAATGATCTAAAAGATCAGAAAAAAAAAAGGCTGCTGCTTTTTTACAGGGATCTGGGTAGATTTGACTCAGCAAGAACCATGTCAAAACGTGGTATACCTAAATGGTTGAAGCAGAGACTGAGATATGAATGGATGAATGTCTCATACTGAGAAGGAAACAAATGGAATTGCTTCATCCCGGCCTTCCCTCCTAGGTGAAGTTGATGGAGCTGGCTGGAATGCAGTGTCATGCTCTCTTTTGGTCTTACATGCTTCTGGGTTTGTTAATGGCAGTAATAATGTGCCTGGATTTGCTTAATTCCTGCAGGTGTGTGATATGTATCTGAGGTACAATCTGCCTTTGTTGATAATGCCTCCTGCTGGAGTTTTCTACCCAGCGCTTCTCAGCATGGATTCTGTCAGCTTGAATCAGCTCTGCTACATTATGTACAGGTACTACAAATGGTGTGGGCTGTAGGGACTCCTTGTCTTCTCTTTCAATGTTTTGGAAATGAAATTACTTTGGTGTAAAATCTGAAATCTTTTTCTTATTATGTAAGGCAAAGGTGAAAGTTCCAGTTGTGCCCAGCTTTCATGTTACAGGAATTTATAGCTGTAGTTCCCACTCTCTTTTTTTTTTTTTCTTTTCAGTCTGTTATCCAAAATAGCAGGATTCTGACCTCTTTCCTAGTATTATTTCCATATCTTTGATATGTGAAGGAAGGAGTTCCCATATTGTTTTGAGAGAACTTAAGTCAGCCAGCTGGAATCACTAGTGGTTAACTATACAACTTCTTGCTCCTGTGCTTTGACCACTAGACTTACAAATTCTGTAATGTGCTGAGTAGGAAGCACTTCTGCCACCTCCAAACTCTGTGGGAATTTGGGACTGCCTCATGCTGCCTGCAGGTCCAAAGACAGTACTGTTTAGCTCTCTGCAGGATCCACAAACATGGCTGCTGTTCTTGGCCTTGTTAGTTCCAGTGGTTGCATCTGAGAAGAGGAGTAGCCAATTGCTGACAGCTGGTGCTGGGCTCTCCATGTGGCTTCTTCTCTAAGGAGTCTGCAGGGTAATGAACATGACAGGATGGTCTCTGGGAAATTAGAGGAGCTAGTGCTTATTATAGAGAATAACTGTCAAGTTGCATTACTTCCAGTGGCTTCTGTTTCTCTGCTTAGTGAATAGAAGTCTCCCTTCTTACAAATACACTGCATTTTTCTGCTAATTTTAAGACTGTATGTAAATTCTTGCGTATTTCCTTTATGAAGGTGACTGTCCCAGGCAAACTGGTCATGTCTTAATCATTTAAGATATTAATATTATCAGGTGTCTCACTACTCTGCCTGGAAAGGGTGAGTCTATGCCAAGTGATAAAGTCCCTTCGAATTTTTTCATGTCTCTTTTTTACCAGTAAAGTTTGATCTCTCGTGGAGGAAATAAGCTTTCTTAATACATTCCTCCAGCTTTTTTCAACACTGGCAGGTAGTAAAAATTTACAGGCACCTAACTTTCTCTTTTGTTTGTTTTTTTAGGTATCGAACCAACTTGGTGGCTGCAAAAGAAAATGAGCTGAGTAAAACGGTATTGTGGACAAAACTGCTATGTGCTAGAATGGACCTTAGCAAGGAGTTGGGTTGAATGGAGGGGAGGTGTTCTGATGGCATTCTTTTGAGGACTGGAGGGAGCATACAACTGCTTTGAGAATGCTATTTATTGATTTTGTTTCTTGTCCCTCAGAAAATACTGCAATTCAAGTTCAGTAGCCAGACATACCAAGAGTACAACCAGTACATAATAGCTATGGTGGGTTGTCTGTGGACATCCAGTGTTTTCCAGAAGGATATTCATCCTCAAGGTCTTCGTATGGATGATGAACTGCTGAAGAAAACCACAGTGCAGGAATTCAAAACCAGCTTTAACATTGTCTACCACCCAGCCATGATGGGCTATGCTGTCCTCTTCCTGCAGCAGGTAATGGTGTAAGCCAACATTTGGGCCTTTGGCAACACCAGATGTTGTGTCTTGACAGTTTCTCTAGAGAAGTGTCTCTCAGTGTACTGGCTGACTTGTAGAGTCAACTGAGCTTTCAAAAGCTGGTATGGCATTCTGTGTTTGTGTCAGATCGGTGGCGCAATTTGCATAGTCTTTGTTTGCATGGTATGAAAGCATGAACGTAAGTTTTAGATGTGAATTTGTGCTTATGATCATTTTTAGGATAGAACTAAAATAGCTAAATAATTAAATAAATGACTAATTCAGTAGAAGCTTCCCAATAGTGCATCCTGCCCCACAAAATACGGATCGTGACCTAAACATTTAAACTCCAGAAAGTCAAGAAATATGTAGTTAAATTGTATGCAGGTGCGCACAGTAGAACTTTTAGCAGTGCTTTCTGGCTCTTGCAGTAGCTTTTGAGAATGGCTTATTAAAAAAGAAATACAAGTAGCTACTTTCAAGTACATAAGTAAGATAATACAGTGATGTCTTGTATTGTCTGATATGAGTTCTGTTAGTAGTTGTCTTGAATTCCGGGGTGCCATCATGTGTTCAATGCAGCTACTGAATAGTGGAGGGAGCAGCTTGCCAGAGTTGTTACTGTTCCAAGATGCGCATGCTGGTCTGAGAAATCAGGTTTTGTAGGCTATCCAAGGGGTGCACAAAGATGCCATTTTGTTGTGAGGAATGCTGGCAGACTGAAGGCAAGTGTAGGTGTGGCTCCTGGAGTGAAGCAAGGGAAACCTGAGGTTAAAGTTGAAGCAAAGAATGCTGGTTAGGAACACCTTCACAAATTTACCTTCATTTATATACTCGGTGTCCTGAATCTAGGTAGTTTGTCTATTACTGCTGATTAAACCCAAGTTTTGTCTTTGCTAGAGAAGGCCATTTTATTTTTGTTATATACAACTTCTTTTCCTTGGTCTTTCTGCTGTTGTAGCAGGATTAGTTTTTCATATCTTTTGTCTAGATCCTTTCTGTTCTGAGGCTTCCTGATTCGTCTTTGTAGCTTTTGTAAGTTTAAAAAAAAAAAAAGAAAAACAACACCAAAAAAACCCCCAACACCTGAAACCTTCTGGTGGAGAATTTTTGCATTCTTCCTACTGCAGAACCAAGAAAAAGATTTTGCTTAGCATCTATCACAGACATGTCTTAAGACAGGAAAAAATATTTCGCTGCAGTGCCATCTTTTCTTAAACACTTCAGTGCTGAGCACCAGAGGGCACTGCTCTGCAGCACACTCAGAGAACACAAGCAATAATCTAAATGTCAGTATGTTCTCTCCTCTTGCTCTTTCTCATTGTTGGGAATTATCTACCTAATGTTTTGAAGGGATAATAGCTTTTACACTGTAGAGAGACAATGGTTAAAGATACCTATAAATATTCTCTGTTGCTATCCAGTAATGCTGTGGCACAAGGCAAGAGGGTCTCCACATTACCTTGCCGCTTGTGGACACAGTATGATCCTGGACGCCCATTCTGAATCATGATTGAAAATCTCTGAATTTCTTTGCACACCTGCAATTCCTGATTTAGGAGGGGACTAAGCAGAGGCCCAACAACTCTGGACATACTTTTTGTCTGACTTGATACTGTTTTTATTCCCTCTCCTTAAGGCTTGGCCAGATGATACCACCTTCAACTTCAGTTTAATTAAGGTAAGATTTCTTGTTTTAGTGAAGTGAAAACAGGCAATTTTCAGCAGCTGTGTAGAAGAAGATGAGGGGATAATATTCACCAATTCCACAAATGCTCTATAAAAATTTTGAAAGGGGAAAATTCCAGCCGTAGACTTTGGTTCAGTCTCTTAACAGGGCCAAACATGAGGACATCAACATCTGAGAAGTTATGTATCTAGCCATCTGTGGGTAGTGGTCTGAGATTTTTATATATTTCCTCCATGAATCAGTGCAGTATCAGGACAAGGCTGTTTATTGTTCTCTGCAGGCTCCAGAAAAAGTTATATTTTTGGTGTACTTGAAGCAGAATTTCTATTATCAATTAATATAATCAATTTATTAATATTAAATTTCTGAGATAGGTGTGTAGCTTTGTTATAGCTTTGAACAGGGATCCTCCGCTGAGCAAGTACAATGGCAGTTTGTTTCCTTTCCTGTATTACAGTGTGCTTCAAACCTGATCTGGAGGAATCGCCATTAGTGATGTATGAAAGGCTTTAATATCCATGTTCATTTGGTTCCTGACATCTTCACTGTTGATCCAATAGACTTTGGTCTTTTTAGAACTGGGATTTATAAACATCTTCAGTATTAAAAAAAGATTGTGACTTGTCATGTTCAAGCTAAGAATCTGTAATACCTAAGTGAAAAGTTCGGGTATTTGGGAACAGGACATGACCTTGTATACCTGTGGGTATTTACAGACTAGGATGAATGTTGTCGAACTGTGGAAGGCGGTATTTGCAGACCTTTTCAGATTGGCCTAAGAAAGAGACAAAGCTATGTCCTGCA